ATCGTGTCGGGCTTGTTCCTCAACAACATCGGAGAAGGTGATAGTGGATGCATTTGGAGGAAGGGTAGAGGAGCATGAGGCAGTGGGAGGTGTTTGCGACGCTGAGAATCGTCCGGTGGAGGGGGCGTCGCCGGAGAGGGGGAAGGCAAACGAATTGTCGATGTCAGATGGGCCATCGGTGCGACGAAGGATGTCACCGATGGGTAGGCCGACAGATGCAATGTTGATGCCGGGTCAGTGTCCTGGGGACTGTGTTCATGATGAGGAGGGGCCCACGCTTGCCGAGGGCGGTGATGTGGAGTTTGCGGGTCGCGTGGAGGCGGACTGGCGGGTGAATCGTGCGGCGTTGGGGCAGTTGGTTTGTTGGTGCCCCAATTGGCGACAACGGGGGTGGAGGAGTCGATCGTGGTGGAGCATGCGAGAGAGGAGGTCAGCAAGGGCATGTCGGGTTCGTGAGCGAGGGCGGTTGCAAGGTCTTTGTGGCATACTCGTTTGATGCGGGAGATGAACGCACGGTCGGGAATGACGATGTGGGGGAGGTGGTGTCGGAGGGAGCGGACGAATTGGACGAAGTGGTCCGTGGGACCGGTCTGGCGGAGGTGGCAGAATTGTTCAAGGTAGTCGTCAATGGTTTTCTGGGGGCGAAAGGTGGCAGCGAGGAGCGTGGCCCATTGGAGGAAGGTGTGGCGTGGTCCTCCGGATGCTCGGCGGTTGCTAACTTCAGCCATCCACCATTTGGCTGCATTGCCGAGGAGGCGGGAGGTGGCAATGGGGAGCCAGTGGGCAAGGGGCATGTGGTGGAGCTGAAAAGAGTTCTGAAGCTGGGTTAGGAAGAGGAAAACGTCCTCGTGGGGGAGGCCGGAGAAGGACATGATTTCGCCAGATCGGAAGGAACGGGGGATTTCCCCGTCGCGGTGAACGATCTGCGCGAGGGTGTTGAAGCTGAGGTTATCGGGGGTGGTGTTGCAGCAGGTGTGGTCGATTTGGTTGTTGTCCTCAAGGAGGTAGTTGGGGGGAAGTTGTGGCACTGCGGGGAAAACCCCGGAGGTGACTTGGGAATAGGTGGGACGGATGGTGGGGATGGTGGAGGTGGTCATGATGGGTTGGGCGAGGGTTTGGGAGTGCGGGGGGGGAAGAGGGGTGACTTTGATGGGCGAGGAATGAGGCGGTGTGCTGGATGCATCGGATGAGGGAGGAGGTGGAGGGAACGGAACGATGGTGGGGATTGAAGGGTTGGTGGATATGGCGGTATAGGTGGTAGGAGTGGAAGAGGTCGGCGGGGGGTTGTTGCTAGAGGCGGCTGTGGAGGAGGGAGTGGTTTGCG